TCTATGAACAACATCAGCTCTTTGGCTTAGAAATGAATATGAGCACCAACCCCCAGAGTCGGACACAACTAGACTCAATGACAGGGGAAACCTTTTCCTTTACTTATATGTATTTTATAGTCATTGCAAAAAAAAAAAAAGCATATACATTTATTGCTATGCCTGAATGGGAATTTTCTAACTGTCATCCTTCACTGTTAGGCAACACCAATTTTATTATGGATTCCTGAGTTGGCAATTCATGACCGATATTGGCAGTAGAAAATACATTTCTGTTCCAAGATCATTGTCTGCAACTGGAGTGAGCAGAATATAGGTCAGAACCTACTGGTAGAAAGTCACCGAAAGGCTGAGAAAGGCAGTATACAAATACAGTAAACAAACAAATAAATAAATGTAGGCAGTGGGTTGTTTTTACAGGCTATACATTTATAATTTATATGCTTTCAGTTCATGGTTTAATGATTTTATTTCTTTTGCAGCCAGAAATTCAGGAGAGTATCCAAAGATTCATTCATAGTTTGGACTCATGGAGAGGTGAGCTATTTTTTTTCTACCTCAGACTCCAAGATAGTGTCATCTGTGCTGCCATTTGCCTGGCTAAGCTGGAACCTGGTGGCATAGCTTTAACATCAGACAAAATTTCAGAATTTTTATATATTTTTGACTGTCAAAGCATTCTCCAGTTTAGCTTTTGATATTCAATATTGATTTTTTTTTTGAGGAACGTAAACCCAAGTTACTGAGTGAAAGATAATCTAAACAAAATGACCAAGAGTAGAATCTTGCTGTTCTTAGGAGAATATCTATGACTTGTAGTATGGATGGGATTATGTGGCCCTTGGGCAGATCTTGTAGTGTAACTCATGTTGTTCATTCGTTCAGTCGTCTCCGACTCTTCGTGACCTCATAGACCAGTCCACGCCAGAGCTCCCTGTCGGCCGTCACCACCCCAGTACTGGTCCATTTAGTTTTCTGGACCAGTGTAACTCATAGCATTCCTCAATATCAGCAATGATGACCAGGACTGCTGGGAATTGCATTCTGCAGCATCTGGAGGGCTGGACAAACCCCAGCTGTGAGTGATACTTTGGGTTATTGTGGACGGCTCCTTCCTCATTCAGAGGGAGCCTACTCCAAAGGCTTTCTTTTGCTTAGCAATGCAAAGATCTGCCACCCAAAGTGCTCCACTGTTCCCTACATCATCTGCCTGCCCAACTCAAGCTTGTTTAGGAATTCCTCCATCATTGATTCTCTCTGCCCAGTCTTTATATAATCCACTCTACTAACAATAAATAAGATTTAATTGAAATTACTTCTTTGAAAACCCCTAGAGTAGGAAAGAACACTGGTAAGTAAGAAGGAAACTGAGGATGGAATCCTCCCCTTTCCACCTCCCAGTAGTAGAACATGGGAAATTAACAAAGTCAAAGCTGTGATCAGTTTTACAAAATTTAAGAACCAAAAATTTATCAAGTTGATGGACTGATCAGGCCCGTAGCCAGGATTTCGATTCGGGGGGGGGGGGGGGGAGTTTTTTCAGGGGGTTTCGGGGGGGGGGTGAGTTTCGGGGGGGGCTGAGTCTGAGTGAAAGAGGGTCTACCTAGCAAACCTTTTGTATCATTACCCCAATACCCCCATGCATATGGGATATATTGAGTATGGTGATATGATGCACCAGTAAGGCCTTTTCGCAAACCACCATGAGAATTTCGGGGGGGGGGGGGCTGAAGCCCCTCAAGCCCCCCCCCCCGACTACATGCCTGGGACTGATAGATGGGAGAAAAGACAACTGGTTGCTTTGATGAAAGAAAACAGACGTTCACCTAAAGCCTTGGGTCTTAATTTGCGTGAATGTAAACAATAGCATTATTCACATTTTACTAATGCATTGACATAACTTGGGGAACAAGTCAAAGACTAGATATATGTTCAAGTTAGAATTCTCCAAGTTGGTGTTCTTGAGACACATTAGACATAGCATTCAGTACATGGCTAATGGCCACGCTGGATGGGGAAAGATGGGTATTGAAGTCTAGCATGGGTCAAGTGTGCCAGTTTGTGGAATGTGGACCTAAGTAATAAATCGTTTAACCCAGTGGCACAATGAGATAAACTGCTGAGCTGCCGAACTTGCTAATCGAAAGGCTGGTGGTTCAAATCCGGGGAGCGGGGTGAGCTCTCACTGTTAGCCCCAGCTTCTACCAACCTAGCATGAAAATGTGAGTAGATCAATAGGTAGCGCTCTGGTGGGAAGGTAACGGCACTCCATGCAGTCATGCTGGCCACATGACCCTGGAGATGTCTACGGACAACGCCGACTCCGACAATGCTCAGAAATGGAAATGAGCACCCCCACCCCATCCCCAGAGTTGGACTCGACTAAATTTATTTCAAGGGGAAACCTTTACCCTTTACTAACCACACACAGCTTTTATTTATCAGGAATGTAAAAGGTTTACATGTAATAAGTCATTATCTACAGGGCAGGCAACTTTTAGTCCCCACTCATATCTTTTTAGACATTAAGCACTCGAGATAAACCGAACAAGATCCCAAAAGCAGTTTCAGAACCCTCAATCTCCCTTTATATGTCTGTTAAGATGAATGTAAATAATATATGCATGAGGAAGCTGTCATTGTGGACTTCTTTCCAAAACATATAGAGTCCTCTAAATGTTTATTTCCTGTAGCATTCTGTACCTCTGCCCTACTCTGTTCTCCTTTCCTACATGCCATGCTCAAAACCTGCTCAGTGCTCAAAATTAGCTGTGTATCAAAAAGAAAAGCATAGAAGTACTGCATGGGAGTCTCTTTTTACCAGCAACTGTAATCGATGTTGTGCCTTCCAGTCATTTCCAACTTATGGCGATTTAAAGGCAAATCTTGACAAGATTTCTTCAGAAATGGACTATCTTTGAGACTGTGAGAACATAACTTACCCAAGGTCATCTGGTGGGTTTTTAAGGCCATTCAGGGATTTGAACCTGGGTTTCAAGAGTAATTGTCCAATAGACAATTCAAGCAGCTGTTAAAACAAGAGAGTTACATCTTCAAGAAGAGGGCTGAAGAATGGGATAAATAATTCTTTCTTCGCCAATTTATAGTCATTTATAGCTTGGGTATATCTGGGTTTAATGGCTTGTCCATGGCAAATGGACAACTTCTCTGATGTGCATCCAAACCATAGTATATCTTGGCCAATGTTCAACTCACCACTGGAAAAAAATTAAGGTAGTATATTGAATCGCATTCTAGGTTTCTGATGGAATTATTAGGAAACAATTTGGTTGTGGAATCAATGAGTTCTATAGTAACCCACATTTTGCAATGCTAGGATAGCTGTGTGGGATCAATGTTTCTCCTATGCCATGACTTGATTAAAATAATACTGATATCAAATTGAACATTGACTGTTCAAATTATATAGGGCAATAATGGGGAACAATATACCTTACTTATTGCCTGTGCCTGACACCCCCCCCCCCCCAATTCTGAACAGAGAATCCAGCTCCGGGGGATGGGGTCCCCATCTCTATTTGCCAATTAATTCTATGTATACACAAAAGGGTAGTCTTGGATGAGAGAGACAAAGAGTTAGTGGGATGTGTGTGGGATTTGGCTCCTTCTTCTACTAGATGATAGATGCACCATCACACCCAGACAATATAAAGTTAAAACTAAGATGTGCTTCTCTCTTTATCCGGGTGAACTGCGGGTGCCTTTCTTAGAAGCTCAAGATTCCCAGCAACTGAGGCCAGTCCAGGTTTGAACATCAAACAGAACATTTATTTCTCAAAGTCTTTGACAGACTTGGCACAGCTTGATGAAGTTACAAACAGAAACAGTCGATTTAGGAAACCATATAGATGTTCTTTCTTTCCCTTTTTCTTCAGTTGCTGAGTTAACTTTCCCCCAACGATAGAAAAATCCTGGGATCTTTTACCCTAAGCCTGAGCTGCTATCTTTCAGAAAGAGCAGGTCTTCCCCTATCCAAGCTCAAGATTAGTTTTGGAGGTGAAGTAATGGAGCCTCTCCCAATGGCAGAGAAATCCTGAGATATTCCCTGCCCCAGCGCTGAGCTACTATCCTTTAGAAAGAGCAGGTCTTTCTCTATCTGAGCTCAGCACCAGTTTCAAAGGCAAGAGGGTAACCGTACTCACAATGGCCTGTTCGAGCTGCCTAGCTGGGCCACCAGCACTTCGGAGGCTTTTTCTATACTGAAGAAGGCAGGAGAGCTTCTCCAAAATGGAGATCTCATCCCCAGGAAAAAGGGCGGTCTCTGGACCAAAAGGATACAATTTTAAACCAATAACAGCAAAAAGCTTGCAGGCTGGCTTCCAGCCTCTGTTAATGTTTAACTTTCAGGGTGCTGCTGAGACTGTAGCAACCCTGGGGGAAAATGCAAAGGGATGCTATTTTATGCAACTAAGGGGCAATGCAAACCAAGCTCCTGGAAGATGGAACAATAGACATGGTTCATTATGAGAATATGATTCCCTCCCAACCACTTTTCCCTGAGAGAATGCGACTCCGGGGCAAGATAATGGTTTATATTCCCTGATATAGACAATTCTCTATGTCTCTATGTCTCTATGTCAATTCACCATGGGTGCAATTGTGTACACTGTAGGAAATTTGGCAGAAGACTCAATGAACAGTTAGGTGTCCATGAAAAAGGAATTTAGTTTAGATCTGCTAGATCGCACACATTTCAGAAGGACAACCATGAGGAAAGATCCTGCCATTCAGTCATGTGCCAATTCAGATTTAAAGGTACAGCTGCACATTTGAGGTGTGGGTAATGATATGTGTCAATCATACCTCTGTTTGCATGGCCTGGACAATATTAAGTTTAGATACAATTTAACACGCCACTAAATAATGCTGCTTTCCCCACACTTCCTCTTCCACACGGGCATTTAACTATCCATATGTTGGTCTCTATGTTTGAAAATGACTTGAAGGCACAAAAGAACAATGTTAAATTTTGTCTGCCTCTCTTCCTAAATATGTGCATGCATATTGTAGTGCAACATGCTGATGTATTTATTAACAGACCTCTCTGGTTGAGCCCTTCTTCTACAGAAAGTGAGAACGTGACCACAGTGACAGCCTTCATCCTCCTGGGCTTTACAGAAAAGCCAGAAATGTGCCCTCTCTTCTCAGTCGTCTTCCTTCTCCTGTACGTGCTCACTGTTTTGGGCAATGGCTGGATGATCACTTTGATCAGATCTGAGCAGCATCTTCACACTCCCATGTACTTCTTCCTCAGTAATCTCTCTGTCTTGGATCTTTGTTACTCCTCCGTTATTGCACCCAAAGCACTGGAGGTTCACCTGCACTGCGGCAGGACTTCACTTTCCGTGCCAGCCTGTGCCACTCAGATGTTCTGCTTCACCATGCTGGTGACTGCTGAGTGTTTCCTCCTGGCAGTCATGGCATATGATCGATTCATGGCTATTTGTCACCCATTGACCTACGTTTTGCTCATGACCCAAGGCCGCTGTACCTGCCTTGTGCTGGGCGCTTACTGCTGCGGTCTTGTGGGCTCTCTCATTCAGACAAGTGGGGCTTTCCGCCTATCTTACTGCGGACCCAATCGGATCAACCACTTCTTCTGTGACATCCCTGCAGTCTTGAAGCTCTCCTGCTCGGACACCTGGCTTTCTGAAGTGATCCTTTTCATTTCCACCAGTGTAATTGCTGTGGTGACCACAACCATCATCTTCATCTCCTACACCCAGGTTTTGCTTAATGTCCTGAGGAGTCACACTGGTCAAGGGAGACGGAAGGCTCTTTCTACCTGCACGTCCCACCTCACCACTCTTGGTCTCTTCTATGGGACTGCAATCTTCATGTATGCCCAACCAAGGACCAAGGCTGGGTCACAAGACCAAGATAAAGTTGTTTCCATGTTCTACACTTTGGTAATCCCTATGCTGAACCCATTGATCTACAGCTTGAGAAACAAGGATGTGAAAGAAGCTATGAAGCATCTGAGAAGCAGGAAGATAGTAGGCCTATTCATGAAGTAGCTTTTAGAAATTTTTTTACATACATCATTGTTAGGTAGATAATGCTCTATTAATTAGAAATGCATTGTCTGTAACTCCATTGTGCATTACTGTGTGGAAAAATACAGTTCTAGTGGATATGTGGTCACACACATCCACTGAAGGGTTAAGTAAGTGGTGACATGGAACTGGAGGGATAAAGTAAAGGAGCTGAGTCATGATCATGTGACAGGCATGATGAGAATTGTATCATTTCCTGTTGTCCCTGGTTTATAATGAGAAGCCAATGTGGATAAAAGTAGGTGACAGAGCATGTGCTCTCCCTCTTGTCATGATCTCTTACCATGATGCCCTCTTGCGATTGTCATGTGTTTCACTTCTTTCACTACCGTCTCAAGCGCAGTTGGTGGGGATGAGAGAGAGGGCTTTTTTAGTGGTGGCCCCCGCCTCTGGAATGCCCTTTCAAGGGAAATATGACAGGCCCCATCCCTCCCCTCCTTTCGTAAGAGCTTGAAGACCTAGTGGTATCAACAAGCCTTTGAAAATTACCAGTTCTAACTCAGCCCCACACATTGTCGAATACGGCCTTATTCTTCCCACCAATTACTCAGATCATTTCCTCTAATCGGCCCCGGAATGAACAGCCACAGACCTGTACCTAATATTATTGCTGCCTGCCATAGCATTGTACTTAATTCCCGGGCCCCCTAGAATTTTTGGGCTTGCACAAATCTTAGCCCGGCCTTTTAAATTTTTAAATTGCCTTGAACAGGCAGGATTACTTTTAATATATGTGTGTTATGGCGACAATTTTTATGCTTATATTTTGTTTTGTTAATCTTATGGTTATGTTGTTTTTACTTTGTATGTTTTGTGATGCTACCTGGGAACCGCTCTGAGTCCCCTCGGGGAGATGGAGCAGTATATAAATAAAGTTTTATTGTATTTATTATTATTATTGTTGGACATTGCTTGTGAGTATAACTTCGTATATACTGATAGCAGACCAGGGGATCCTGGTGCCTGTTTATAGCTGTACATAAGCAACGAATCGAGATTAAATATTCAAATGTGAGTTTGGATGAAAACAAGAGTTCGAGTGTTTTCTTATTAAATCAGTGAGCACTCAAGAAGGTCAGAGGCTGTGCTGTAAATCTCTGCTAACTACTGATAAAGACTCTGCAGTGTTTGGTTTGATTAATGAGCTTGCCTTGAGACAGTCCCATGCACAGCATTGGGAGGACATGATAGGAGAAACTATAAATCACATACCTAACCAGTGGGATTGTTGTTTTCCCCCTTACAATCATACCCCACCTTTCCTCTAAGCATTTCTTCCAAGATGTATCCAAGGATAATTTTTCTCAGTCACTATTTTCTTATGAAATCCATTTTGGTGGTGATATTTATACATTTCTGTTTTTTTTAACATGCTGGAAGTCGGCTTGTGAGATAGGCTTATCCACTTCCCCCTTTCCCTGTATTGTTGCTCACACATACTCAGAAAGAAATTCTAGCAGCAGCTGCTGTTTACCTTGCCATTTGTAGGCAAGCCATACAGTAGAACAAGTTATGGTAGATCCTATTCTACCCTAACTTAAAGTTTACTGCATGATTTATGTATACTTGCTTGCTGCTCCAACCTGGTATTCAAAGTCAGTGTAGATGGGCCCCAGCCCTCCTTCACCATCTTTCCAGTGCCGATAATGCATTAGAAATCCAGCTAAATAGCAAGAGCAAAAAGTCTTTCGACAGGCATCGAAAGACTTTGTTAAAAGGGACTTCTTTGTCGGAGGCATATCTGTATCTCAAAAGGCTAGGTAGGCACTATCTGAAAAGTCATTGGTGGCACATGATCTCAGTTTATACCTTTTAAAAAAAATCCTCATTCTGAATCTAGTATTTTCAAGTGAAAGCACATATTGTAATTATCTGGAGAATGTGTGCATTTCAGTCCAGAGACTGGCATAAGAAAAACTGAGTTATTTTCCTGCATTTGGAATGGATTCATTTGTGTCTTTACACCCTTAAATCCTATTCACTTCATTAAAAAAAGAAACATCAACAGGACACATCTTTCTATCTGCCATCCATCCCAGACATGTGTCTCAGATGCTGTTGGATGACATTTTTTTATAATTAGCTGCAGGTTAATCATGGGAGTTAACAGTCCAACAATATTTGTTCTGGAGACCCAATTTTGAGGATGGATAGCCATAGAGATCAAAATCAGCAATAGCAAAGGCCTTTTGACTGAGACCAAAAACATTCCATTCCCTAAAAGCCCACCAAATCCCAACCTTGCATTGCATTCTATTCAGAAAAATATATTTTTCTTTAGATAGACATTTCTTAGAATTAAGATCCATTCTGTTTGGGAACTTTTCCTCCTTACGGCAATCAATTTTTCAGTTATCTTGAGATATTCAAGGTCATTGGAAAGATGAACGAGATATTATTTCATCAGATCAGGTGCTGTAGAAAGTATAATTTAACCGCTTTGAGTCGCTTGAGGGCTGAGAAAAACGGTATATAAATGAAGTAAATAAATAATAAATAATAAATAATTGTTTAAAGATGAAAGGTAAAGGTTTCTCCTTGATATCAAGTCTAGTCGTGTCCGACTTTGGGGGGTGGTGCTCATCTCCATTTCTAAGGCAAAGACACGATAGGACACCTCCAAGGTCATGTGGCCAACATGACTACATGGAGCGCCATTACTTTCCCACAGAAGCGTTATTGATCTGCTCACATTTGCATGTTTTCAAACTGCTAGGTTGGCAGAAGCTGGGCCTAACAGCGGGAGCCCACCCTGCTCCCTGGATTTGAACCGCCAACCTTTCGGTCAGCAAGTTCAGCAGCTCAGCGGTTTAACCCGCTGCACCACAAGGGGGCCCATAATTGTTGAAAAGAGATAAATACTTTTAAGGAAGAGGATACTTTGTATTATACGAATGTACAACTGTTAAAAAAGCCTCAAAAAAGTATCATTCATTCCAGTTGTATTAATTAAAATTAACTGCTTTCTGGTCAAACAACTAAAGCTGTAGTTGAATCATCTACTCATAATTTCGACAGGCCTTTGATCTTTGCTATTGCTGTTTTTAAATTGTTTTAAATTGTTTTTAAATTGTGTTAGATTTTAGCCTGTTCTTGTAAGCCGCTCCGAGCCCCAGGGGAGTGGCGGCATATAAGTTTGAATAAATAAATAAATAATTGCTAATAATATTACAATATAATAGTATAGTACAATATAGTAATATATAATACTGATATTGTACTATGCTAATAATATAATATATTCTTTGTATATATATCTTGTAAGCCGCTCTGAGTCCCCTTCGGGGTGAGAAGGGCGGCATATAAATGTCGGAAATAAATAAATAAATAAATACTCACTTATACTTGCAAGCCTAAATGTATTCATTTTAATTATGTGGCTGCTTTGAAATGCTGATTAGTTTTGCTGGTTTGATCAGGGACATTTTCAATTACTAGGAAAAGTAAACAACTCCGAGAACAAACGTTTTTCTGTAGTTGCACTTCGACATGTAATGAGTGTAGTCAAACCAGTGTTGCGTGTCAAAACATTTTATTAAGTATACAAACCAGAATGGCATATATTTAAAGCTTAAGAAATAGCACCGAATAACAAAACTGTCGTTATATCTGAATCAAAGGAGATGTTCCTGAATTCAAACAAACACAATAAAGCAAGTTTAGAATTTTACACAAGCTATAATTCTATTAGCGGCATGCAAATCCTTTAACATTCATTTACTTTGGTTCTCAAAGGCCAGATCTGGACACAATAGTAAGCTAGAGTATTATAGGTGGTTCAATTCTGGCTTGTTGTTTCTGAAACGATCCCTGTTAACAAACCCCAAATTTTTAAACCATAGTTTAAACTATAGTTTATTGTTGGCTTACATGAATTCTGCATTATTAGAGCCATAGCTTATTTCTCCAGCTGGAAAAAAGGGCAGGAAAAAAATAGACTAGAAACGAAGAAACAAAGTGTGATTTGTAGCAAACCATGATGTGCTAATGTGGATTTGCATGCTCCACACAAGATGACATCCAGTCGGTAAGAACCGTGTTATATAAACATTAACATACAGGAAATATATCAAAACACAAATTACATTCATGTTACTTAAAAAGTCGTGTTTCATATCGAAATTGCACACCTCTGCCCTCCCCTGGAAGGAAAATGTCAGTTATTAATTTTAAACACCAAATTATCCAATTTGGAGCCGCCGCGGTGCAATGGGTTAAACTCTTTAGCTGTCTGAACTCCTGACCTGACCTGAAGATCGGCGGTTCAAATCCACGAGATGGGATGAGCTCCTATATGTCAGCTCCAGCTTCCCATGCAGGGACATGACAGAAGCCTCCCACATGATGATAACACATCTGGGCATCCCCTGGGAAGTATCCCTGCAGATAGCCTAATCTTTCACACCAGAAGTGTCTTGCAGTTTCTCTAGTCGCTTCTGGCATGATAAAATAATAATAATCCAATAATACCCCATTTTCCACTATTTGATGAAACTGGAAGTTCATTTTTTTAAAAAACTGCAAATATTTACTGCAAACTAGATAGATTCTCCAATACAATCACTCTGGGAACCCTGTTTTCCCAATCTATGTGCCACTTCTCACAAAAATACTTTCTCTATCTGGATGCTAGCAGAGACTTTCCAGTGACAGCACACCTGGCAAAAGCTATCTGTGCAAATGGTGCAAAAGACATGAAATAAACATTTTCCTCTTCATGTACATTAAATCATGTGAGGAGAGAATGGGGAAGTGCTAGTCAGCTCTACTTGCTCCATTTTCCCAGTTGGAAGCACAACTGACCTTCTGCTGCAGAACTTTGGCCTTCTTATCAGCACAGGACTGATAGAAGGGAATGAGATAATGTCTGGAACTAGGTTGGAAGTCCTTATCTTTCCCTTTGTTGTGTTAGGAGAGACTACCCCATACTTTGATTTTACACTTCATACCTGTACAAAGATATGAGGTAGCCTTATGTTACAGATCTAGTGCACCTTAAATGCAGAAGGACTTGGAAGAACTGTGGTATTATTTCCAGTCCTCTGGTTGAACTGGTGCCGTTCCAGAGCTTGTCTGTGTGAACTAAGCTACCTCCCTTTCCCTCAGGGTAAGACAACGGCGGAGCAGAGAACTACATTGTGAGTTTCAAATCATCTGTAAACAAATAAGATTCCTGGCTTGTTGTAGGTTTTTTCGGGCTATAGGGCCATGTTCTAGAGGCATTCTCTCCTGACGTTTCGCCTGCATCTATGGCAAGCATCCTCAGAGGTAGTGAGGTCTGTTGGAACTAGGAAAATTGGGTTTATATATCTGTGGAATGACCAGGGTGGGACAAAGAACTCTTGTCTGTTGGAGCTAGGTGTGAATGTTTCAATTGACCACCTTGATTAGCATATAATGCCCTGACAGTGCCTGGAGCAAACTTTTGTTGAGAGGTGACTAGATGTTTATTATTATTATTATTATTATTATTATTATTATTACATTTCCTAATTCTCATAACTGAGCAAGGGATGAAAATCAGGACTAATTTTCTTATCAGAACCAACAAATGACACTGTGCCTAAGTATGCCTACAAGGTCCCAGATGCAATAATACTGTTTTGTTTTTTTTGGTCGTGTCAGGAGCAACTGCTCCTGTTGTGAGAGAATTGGCCGTCTGCAAGGACGTTGCCCAGGGACGCCTGGATGATTTTGATGTTTTATCATCCTTGTGGGAGGCTTCTCTCATGTCCCCGCATGAGGAGCTGGAGCTAATAGAGGGAGCTCATCCGCCTCTCCCCGGATTCGAACCTGCGACCTGTCGGTCTTTAGTCCTGCTGGCACAGTGCTTTAACCCACTGCGCCACCGGAGGCTCCAATAATACTGTTAATTCTGACAAAATATAGCTCCTCAGATTCCAAGACCCTTCTCTATATACACAGCAGCACTTTTAAGCCTATCTGGTTTCTATGGCCTGGTGGTTGTTTGGTGTGGCTTGTTGGTGCCTGGGGCAATCTTTTGTTGAGAGATGATTAGATGTCCATGATTGTTTCCTCTCTGTTGTTTTGCTGTTGTAATTTTAGAGTTTTTTTTTAATACTGGTAGCCAGATTTTGTTCATTTTCATGGTTTCCTCCTTTCTGTTGAAATTGTCCACATGCTTGTGGATTTCAATGGCTTCTCTGTGTAGTCTGACATGGTGGTTGTGAGAGTGGTCCAGCATTCTGTGTCCACAGCATATGATGACTCTAACAACCACCATGTCAGATTACACAGAGAAGCCATTGAAATCCACAAGCATGTGGACAATATCAACAGAAAGGAAGAAACCATGAAAATGAACAAACATCAGGACATCTAATCGCCTCTCAACAAAAGATTACCCCAGGCACCAACAAGCCACACCAAAGCCAGCTCCACTGGCTTAGCTTCCGAGCACAATTCAAAGTGCTGGTGTTAACCTATAAAGCCCTAAACGACTCGCCCAGTTTACCTGTCCGAACGTATTCTCCCCTATGAACCATCAAGATTGCTAAGATCGTCTGGAGGGGCCCTGCTCTCGGTCCCACCGGCCTCACAAGTGCGTCTGGTGGGGACGAGGGACAGGGCCTTCTCGGTGGTGGCCCCTCGACTCTGGAACTCCCTTCCACTGAAGATCAGAACTGCCCCTTCTATCTTGACGTTCAGAAAACAGGTGAAAACTTGGCTCTGGAAACTGGCATTTGAAGAATGAGTCAAGATCCTGTGATATGGGTGGATGTCGACGAACAATGATTTTATGATGACGACTGACCATTGTAATTATATGACTGTATTTTGCTTTTAATGTCTTAGCGTAATTTGGAATACGATGTTTTTAATGACTGTTTCTAATATTGATGTTGGAAATAATAATCAAGGTGGCCAACTGAAACATTCACACCTAGCTCCAACAGACAAGAGTCCTTGGTTCCACCCTGGTCATTCCACAGATATATAAACCCAATTTTCCTAGTTCCAACAGACCTCACTGCCTCTGAGGATGCTTGCCATAGGTGCAGGCGAAATGTCAGGAGAGAATGCCTCTAGAACATGGCCATATAGCCCGAAAAAACCTACAACAACCTAGTGATTCCGGCCATGAAAGCCTTCGACAATAAATAAGATTCCAATTCAGGTTTTACATTCCCGAAAAAAGTCATAAAGATATGAAGAAAATTTTCCCTTATTCATTTTCATACAAAAACATTCTGTAATGGCCCATTATTTCAGACAGTATTCCCTTTGGAGCCATTTATAGTAGCTGAGTGGTTGTAAAAGCATGATAATTGACTTTGGTATAAGGAAATGTAGTTGTGGAACTAAGAGCCGGATCATGTACAGTATCTGCCCTTCGGAAGAGTGAATAATGCAGAACTTTGGGGTTTGCAAATGCTTCCTTTGTCAACAGGGGACACTTACTAAGGTGCAATATTTAGCCCAAGATATACCGTCAGGAGGCTTAAACATTCAAGCTTGGGCACTTTGAACACTCCCACATTCTTTAGGCATAATAAACTAGTTATGTCAAGACTTGTCTCATTTGGATTACATTCATGAACAGCAGCTAGTAATCTGACTTTATCCATTAAGTACCAAAACACCATAGTAGAAGAAACTCATATAAATTACATTGGTCAATGCACAGAAGAACTGCTCAATAAGCAGAACATGACTCTTCTCCCAGTGATAAGTATCCCTGATTTTTTTTTTTTAGAAGGACTACTACATAGCCACCTGGAGTTGAGTATTTGTTGTAGTGGCACCAAGAAACATCCCTCCACCGGACCCTGATGAAAGTGGAAAAACTGCAGACAAAGAAATTGCTCCCCCCCCCCCCTGAGAGAACGCTTTTATAGGTATCTCTAGGTCTCCAAGTATGACTCAACGCCCAACTTTCACTGGAAGCTGGCCACCAAATCACACTGGAGAACCTAGGGACTCCCAGCAAAATGTTTTCTCTAAAAATCTCCAGGTTCCCCAACATGAGTGGAGGAGGTAGAGTAACACCGAAAGAAGCAGAGAAAGCATTTTTTTTAAAATCAAATTTGGAAAAGTCAAAACTGCAAATGTGGAGGGATGACTGTATCCTGACGAAGTATGGGGTTTGTTACCATGGTGACCTTCAAGGAAAGATCTCACTGCTTCAAGAACATCTTTTACGGGAAATAAAAATAGCAACAATTAGGACTTGGAGTTGATAAGGCACCTTTCACTAATGTGTTGCCTGGGAAGCAGGCCTCTCAATTATTTTGTCTTTCCGAGTGCATGTATGGCTGCATTTTCCAATATCTCCACCTTCTGCCCATCCTTTCCTGGCATGACCACGTTGTTGATCATGGCTTGGGCCACCGTCACTGTGGGAATCGTCATAGTTGTGGGAGAGATGCATGCGTAGATTCCCAGAACTTTCCTGGTCATCCACTCACTAGGCCGAGATTCTTGGCGATCACACAGAAGCACCCTGTAGGAGGAGACAGCATGAAGGACCAACTTCCACTTTGACTTGGTGACCCCGTGAATGAAGACCTCCAAGTCACCCTCTTCACAACAATCAGTCTTACAGCCCTTTGTATGTGGCTTCCTTGAGCGAGTCTATCAATCTGGGATGTTGAATTACACTTTTCCTACTGCTTTCTACTTTAGTAAGCATTATTGCCTTTTCTAGAGAGCCATGTCTTCTCAAGATATGACCAAAGTACTACAGACATCTTGACTTCTAGGATGAGTTCAGGCTTGATTTGCTCTAGGACCCATTTATTGGTTTTTTTAAGCAGATCACTACTTTTGTCATTTTCTCCAGCACCACATTCAAAATAAGTAGATTTTCTTCACTGTCCAAGCAGTGGGAGATATGACAGTATGAACAACCCTAACTTTTGGATTCAATGATATATGTTCACACTTCAGCATCTCATCTAGTTCTTTCATAGATATCAAGTCATGACAATATTACTGCAGCCCTAGGCCAGTCACATCATGATGCATTACAAGACCATTTCCTATACCAATCTTGTCTTGACTGAATATTCAGATATTTATTTTTCTTTTCATAGATGAAGTCATTAATTAAATATTCAGAGAGATAAGACTACCAGGTTTTCAAGGGTCTTGTTTAATCGACAAAATGGAAGGAAAAGATAGGTACAGAACTTTAAATCAGGCCTTCCAGACAATTAAATCAATGTACTGACTTAAGTAAACCCAGATGGGGGTGGGTGGGAGGTAGGAAAAGGGTAGTAAGGGTGGGTGGGGTGGGGGCTTTCAAGGGGTAAATAATCGAGATATACGGCAAAGGGAAGCACAAATGGGACCTGTATCCTAGCCATAAAAATTGTAAATAGTTTTTATTTATTTATTTATTTATTTATTTATTTACTATGCTTATATACCGCAATTCTCAGCCTACTGGCGACTCATTGCGGTGTACAACATTTTGATATTATCTTTTAGATGGCTAAAGTTTGTATTGTATTGTTTTGTCATCTGTATGAAGAAATTAATAAAAAAATTAAAAAACCAACAACCATTATGACGCATTAATGACACAGTCACTTTAGCGACCATTTTTTCAGGGATATCTGTGTCCATGGGATTGTCCCACAAGATGTCCTGGGAACAACGGCACCCGTGTGCTTAAGCAACATTGCAAGTGGTTCCTGATGGGAGTCAGAATGGTTCACTGCGATTTAGGGCTTTACCTCACAGCCCTATATCCCAAAATATCAAGGCAGAAACCTCCACAATATCTGCTTTGAACTGGGATATCTGAGCCCACACTCAGATAATGTGGGATTTTCTGCCTTGATATTCTAGGATATAGGGCTGTGTGGAAGGGTGAAACTGAGGTTACCTTTATGTCTTATAAAAAGGATATGATTAGAAGATGCCTCTCTGCATCTGCATTGTGAACTCTCTTTTCCAAAACAGCCAAGTGGAGTTTTGTTTACTTTCTTCAAGCAAAAGCTAAACCATGCCTTTGGTATTGTATTCAACTACTTGGTGGGGTGAAGCTCAAATAAGCTCAGAACTGCAACGGGTCAATATGTGCTGCCTTCACAAGAGGCAAAGTCTTCTCTGGGAAGGGCCTGATGGATGACCAGGATCCTTGCATAGCAGTGGGTGTTTGCTCTTTCTAATCTCCAGATGGGGAAACATCTGACTACTGAATGGGCTACTAGCCACGCTGGGTTGAGTTGATACATTTAGAAAGCCTCCTCTGACCTCCCAGACCCTCCAGACATACCTCATGATACTTACGCTGGCCTAAATATGGAACAACGGTCAAAGCCAATTGCTTGGACTCGGGCCTCAGCTTCACCCTGTAAAGGGGGGGGGGGGGGGCGAGAAAAAAGAAATCAACTGTTAAGGCATGACCCCTCACTTTTTCACCAAAAGAGAAAGGGAGAAAAAACCTGAAATAGCTATTCTTAGAAAGGCAGGAGGAGCTTACAATGGCCAGGATCAGCTGACTCACGAGATATTGTTTTGCCAACATGTTTGATTCCTCATTCAGAAGTGAGTGACCATGGACAAAAGAAGCCTGGCTTGGCATAATCAGTGAAGCAAGAGATACTCTAAGCTTGTGAGCCTAATCTAATATTATACAGGTTTTTAACCCAGTTTACTGAGATTTCTTGAGTTCCCAAGCAGGGTTGCCAATGTCACCAAGCATTGAATTGTCTCTTTCTACCTGCTCAGAGCTTTTTGCATTAAATCATGAACGCAATCTATACCTATCTATTGAATACAGCTGTTACAATATCACATTAGGACCAGGGAAGAGTCTTGTCGAAATGTCATCTTTTCTGAGAAGTTTCTTGGGTGATCTCAGACTAATCACCAACTCCCTGCTATCTGCTTCTCAGAGTTGTTGCAAACATCAAATGAAAGGGAACCAAATATAGAGCTTTTTAGCTCCTTGGAGAAAAGTTGGGATAGTATCTGCACATTATTTTATTATGGATGTCATTGGGAAGGGATATCATCCATCAAACACACCTTAACTCTGAGGTAGAGGAAGCTGCTGGAGCTATCGGCCCCCTTGCTTGATTGCAGGACAAAATGGCGGCAACCACCGGCTTTGGCTAGCTTTGCAGAGTGCTCAATGTAGTCCCGATCAACACGCACAAATCCATCCTGAGAGCAGAAAAAAAATCAGTTAGCTTTTTTGGAGCATCATCTCCACCTTTATGTGTGGGGTGAATCAGAATAAGATATATCAAAACATAGGCCGTATGTTGAGATGTATATGTAAACTGGCAAGTGCCCATAAGTTTCCTACAGGACTTAGATTGGGGCAGGCCCGTAGCCAGAATTTCGATTCGGGGGGGGGGGGGGGCTGAGTCCGAGTGAAAGAGGGTCTACCCTAGCAAACCTTTTGTATCATTACCCCAATACCCCCATGCATATGAGATATATTGAGTAGGGTGATCAGATCATGATATGAATAAACATAACAGTTTAAATAATGCACCAGTAAGGCCTTTTCGCAAACCACCATGAGAATTTCGGGGGGGGGGGTCAAGCCCCTCAAGCCCCCCCCCCCTGGCTACATGCCTGGATTGGGGAGACCTGAATTCAAATGCTCAGTCATCTAAGAAGGCTATTCTCTCCCAGTCTAACTGACTTCACAAGATAGATGACAGCCAATAATGAGGGGGTTTTTTTTGTCGTGTCAGAAGGAACTTGAGAAACTGCAAGTCGCTTCTGGTGTGAGAGACTTGCCGTCTGCAAGGACATTGCCCAGGGGACGCCCGGATAATTTGATGTTTTTATCATCCTTGTGGGAGGCTTCTCTCATGTCCGCGCATGAAGATTTGCTGCTGATAGAGGGAGCTCATCCGCCTCTCCCCGGATTCGAACCTGCGACCTGTTGCTCTTCAGTCTTGCCGGCACAGGGGTTTAACCCACTGCGCTACCGGGGGCTCCTTATAATGAGGTAAGCCAATGCCTTCATCTTGAGCACCTTAGAAGATAGATACCCACGGGTCTCCATAAAAGGTAAATGTTTCCCTTTGATATTAAGTCTAGTCATGTCCGACTCGGGGGTGGTGCTCATCTCCATTTCTAAGCTGAAGAGCCATCGTTGTCCGTAGCCACCTCCTAGGTCATGTGGTCAGCATGACTGCATGGAGCACTGTTACATTCCGCCCAAAGCGTTAGCTATTGATCTACTAACATTTGCATGCTAGGTTGGCAGAAGCTGGGGCTAACAGCGAGAGCTCACCCAGTTCCCCAGATTCAAATCACCAGATTCAAATCACCAAGTTCAGCAGTGCAGCACTTTAACCCGCTGCACCACCATACTCATATAAATAATATGGGTCTCTATACTCACATAAATTATCAATGTTTGTATCATGAACTAGGTCAACTATTCCCCTTCCCTTGTGTCTTTTCAGCATGGCTCTTTGTCCTGCTGCTCTTTGCTTCCTACTAATCAGTTTATGGTTCTCAGTTCCTGCTTCACAACAGATAGTCCCCTATTTTCCAGAGACCCTTACCGCTCCAGCTTTGGCTCTGGTTGTCCCCAGGCAGCAGAAGCCCACATCGTGGCCTTGAAAAGCAGCAGCTGATTCATCCAGTTTCTCAAAGTCTACAACCTCTTGGGACTAGAAAGGGGGGGGGGGGACACAACAAGAGAGAAGAGGAAAACATGACTTGAACATGCATGTGAAGGGACAGAAATATATTCATTCCCACTACCCTTACCATTCCCCTTGTTTCCAAAAGAGAGACAGAAGACATTATCATCAATCTATGAGTTTTCGGCATGTTCGGAATGCAAGCTCTAATTAGTCCACAAGGAAAAACATTTGCTAAGAAGTCATGAGACAATACATCAACAACTGGCATCCACCGGAGACAGCAGCATGGGCTAAACGCTGAGGGAATGGCTAATTATGTTATCAACCCTACTAATTAAATACAAGTTTTGAAGCAATCCTCATAAATGGATTTCCTCAGAATATACTGTAGCTGGGAGTTCTCCCAGTTGAATACTTAGTATTTTGGGTAACTTGATCTTTGATGAGCCATTGCAGTCTAACAGCTTTGTTGGTTCTACTGGAGATGAAAACTGCCAGAACTGGTTTGTTACTCCAACAGCTTTGCATTTTTGGATTTTCCTTGTAAACACAGTTATAGAGCCCCATGATGAATGGGTGCACCCCAAATGGATGACCTCCTCCTACTGGCTCTATTATTCTTGTCGGGAGAGTCAAGGGAGAAAGCATCTGAACTCATGTTTCCAGCATGACATGCTTGGCAAGCTCAAACTCCCCCACATAAAGAGAAAACGGGAGTCACATGGATTCAGACAATGGATCTTGCTCATAAAACAACTTCTGCTGATCCCTGCTTTCTCACTGGGGTGGGGAAGAGAAGAAGGGTAAGGCAACTGCCCCCGTTTTTTTCCTAAAATAACTGCATAATTACTGTTTTTTGCATTGATGATGCCCCGGTGAGTATACTGCAACTGCAGAATCCATATAGCTCTGCCCGGGGGGAAATGATCTCTCCAGGAATGTACCAAGTCCTTCAAGCAGTTTGATGGCATGTTTTTCCCAGTAGTTATCATAGAGTCACCCTAGAGCAGTGCTTCTCAACCTTGGGTCCCCAGATGTTTTTGGCCTACAACTCCCAGAAATCCCAGCCAGTTTAGCAGCTGTTAGGATTTCTGGGAATTGTAGGCCAAAAACATCTGGGGACCCCAGGTTGAGAACCACTGCCCTAGAGGATCTAGCAAATTCTTTGAGAAGATACTTCCCTAGAAAATTCTAAGTCCTCCAGGGAGACATTATGTTTACTTACTTATTTATTTTATTGTGCCCTTCTCACTTTGAAGGGGACTCAGGACAGATCACAGAACACATTTACGGCAAACATAATAATAACAATAACAATAACAATAATAATAATCTTTATTTATACCCCGCCATAATCCCCCTGGTGGGGACTCGGAGCAGTTTACATGGGGCCAAGCCTGGACAACATATTACAGCAATAAAATCAAAACATAAACAACAAACTACAACAACAACATCAGAATACATTAATAATAAGAAGAAAAAAACAGTCATAAAATAACATTATAATAAACACTATCACAATAACGATAACTAGGATCTTGTGGGTTTTTTCGGGCTATATGGCCATGTTCTAGAGGCATTTCTCCTGACGTTTCGCCTGCATTTATGGCAAGCATCCTCAGAGGATGCTCCTCTGAGGATGCTTGCCATAGATGCAGGCGAAACGTCAGGAGAAATGCCTCTAGAACATGGCCATATAGCCCGAAAAAACCCACAAGAACCTAGTGATTCCAGCCATGAAAGCCTTCGACAATAACGATAACAGTGGGTGGGCCACATGTACAGGATAAAACAATTTAAAAAACGGTGATGAGATAAAATAGGAGCAAGACATTTACGGGGAACTCATAAAACACATAGATTTATGAGGCTGAACTTCCCATTTGGTGGGCACGAGCTCCAGTACTGAGGGGTGCAAAATGTCATGGTGTGCACTTACTCACCAAAGGCGCAGCGGAAGAGCCAGGTTTTAAGGTTCTTTTTAAATGTTTCTAGTGAAGGGGCTTTCCTGATCTCTCCAAGTAAAGAGTTTCAAAGTCAGGGAGCCACAAAGGAGAAGGCTCTCTCCCTTGTACCCACAAGACAAGCTTGTGAGATTGGTAAAGGTGATAGGAGGACCCCCTCCAAAGATCGAAGGGCCCGGGTTGGTACATGGATTATACAATGCCGATTATAAAATAACAAAACAGACAAAAGACAGAGGTATATTTAGGCTTTTTCTCATCATTCGGCATCTTTTGGAGGCTGTGCTCAGTTCTGGCCACAGGGGGGTGCTGTCGCTTCATCTCCTTACCGAAGAGCTTTCTTTGTTCGTAAACTATCCTCCAAAATACCGTGCCTAAAATACCTCCCCGCTTAATGTAATTCCTATTCATCTACTCATGTTGCTGTTTTTGATCCACTAGGTGGGCAAGGAAGCTGGGCTGAAGGTCAGGAGCTCATCCTGACCCGGCTTCAAACTGCCAACCTTTCCGTTGGCAAGATTTACTGCAGCTGCAGCTGGTGATTAACCTGCTGTGCTTTAGCTGCTGTGCTAAAGACTTCAGGTGATTTGATGGTGTTCAGTTGTAGCCACGATTTCAGGTATCTACAGTCTGGCTGGGAATGTCTGCCTCACAGATACCGGGGTCTTACTGTACATAAGATTACAATCTGTGATGTGCTTCACCACTGGCAAGAAAAGGCAGTTTTCCCTGGGACGCTACTTCCAATAATCTTAACTTTGCTTTCAAATTTTGCATCTGCATCACTTTGGGAAATTGGCACAGAATGTTACATAACTTTGGTTAAAACACACATCAATGAAAATCCAATTCAGGGAAGTGTTTTAAGGATTTTGTCCCCTCTGCTTGGCTTTCACCTTGCTGCGTTTTCCAGGTATGAATGGGAGATGGAGTATACATCAGGTTCCTTAGAACAAAAACACAGGCTATATGTATACAGCAGAATAAACATTTTAGATTATAGTCGTACCACACTGGCATAGAGCTGCCCTTCCAAATCCAGCTTCCGACGTCCAATGAGTGTCACCCTGGAGAACAAGTGCTGTCTCAAAATCTCGGCCAGTAGTTCTTTCCCAGTTTCACCAGAGGCACCCAGAATGAAACAGGTTTGATTCTTTTTCTGGAAATCTTCCCGGAGGCTCTTCAGCTCATCTGGATTGGGGGCAGCCATTCTGATGGACAGAGGAAGAAGGAATGGAAATATAATGTTTAGTCAGGCAAGAAAAACATCACTTTCAAATCTATGGAATAAAGTTGTACTTTTTGAAAATACGGTAGAACATATTCTTTTTTCAGCACAGGTATATCCAGGACTCTTCCACACAGATATGTAATCAAGGCAGAATTTCCCACAATATCTGCTTTGATCTGGGTTATCCAAGTCCACACTTCCAAATCTTGAAGTCGGATTTGGCCGTGATGGTCCACGCCTTAGTTACCGCTAGACTGGACTATTGCAATGCGCTCTATGTGGGGCTGACCTTGAAAACAGCCTGGAAATTTCAACTGGTCCAATGAATGGTAGCCAGACTACTAACTGATGCAAATTACAGGGAGCAGTCAACCCCCGTTTAAGGAGCTCCACTGGCTGCCATTTATTTTCCGGTCCCAATTCAAAGTGCAGGTTCTTACCTACAAAGCCCAGAACGGTTTGAGACCTGACTACCTCCGTGATCGGCATTTCCTTTTACGAACCTACATGATGCCTTCGATCTTCTGAAGAGGCCCTTCTCTAGCTCCTGTCCCCTTCGCAAGTATGACTTGTAGGGACGAGGGAGAGGGCCTTCTCTGTGGTGGCCCCTCAGCTCTGGAACTTGCTCCCCAGAGAAATTAGGCAAGCCCCCACCCTGGGAGTCTTCAGGAAGAGCTGTTCCAGTGTGCGATCAATGAATAAATGAATAATAATCCATGAGCTGACCAAACCCTGCATAAAATGCCCTCGGAAGCACTTTATTTTACCTGTTAGTGCAATTAAACCCTACTTCGTCCCTTGCATCCCCTGTACAGATAACATTACATTGCTTTCTCATCCAGTGTTTTAAACTTTTAATATTTGCAACTGGCCCTGCCCACTGTGATCAACTTTCTGTATTCAAATATTGTGATTTTATATCGTTCTGTTGTGTTTATTTACACTGTTTCTTGTATTTTATCTTATTTTCTTATATTTTATTGTTGTATTTTTATGTTGTACATTTGCATTGTTGTATTGCTAGGCTTGGCCTCATGTAAGCCGCCCTGAGTCCCCTTGGGGAGATGGTGGAGGGGTATAAACAAAGATTATTATTATTATTATTATTATTATTATTATTATTATTATTATTAATACCAGTTCAAAGCAGAAAATCTGGGATTTTATTCAGCTGTGTGGATGGGGTCTTAGTTGCCAGAATGTGGGCTTTCCATGAATGACTAACGCACCATATTAAGTCATAATGTTTGGACCTCTTCCTCCAGAAAGTCCAAAGAATTGAGAGCCTATTCACACTTATTATTATGTGTGAATAATAATAATAATAATAATAATAATAATAATAATAATAATAATAATAATAAAAATAATATGATTCCACTTTCTCTGCCTTGGCTGCATCCTATGGAATACTGGGATCTACAGTTTGGTTGGAGTTGCTCTCAGGCCAAAAATTCTAGTTGTCCTTCTCAAAACTGCAAATCCCAGAATTCCACAGAATGTTGCCCAGAGAAGTTGAAGTGGAAACCACAGTCTGGAGTACTTTCTCCATTTCCTTGTGAATAAGCCCCCGGTGCATCTAGATCAGGCATGGGCAAACTTGGGCCCTCCAGGGGTTTTGGACTTCAACTCCCACAATTCCTAACAGCCGAAGTCCAAAACCCCAGGAGGGCCCAAGTTTGCCCATGCCTGATCTAGATGCATCTAAATGCGGTTAAACTTGACTTTAACTGTCATAGCTCAATATTATGGGAGCTGCAATTTTACAAGGTCATTAGCTTGCCACAGTGCTGGTGTTTCATCAAACTACAACTCCCAGCATTCCATAGCACATGGTAGTTAAAGAGGTGTCAAGCTGTAGTCATTGCACAAATGCGCCTTTGATGGACCTAGTGGGAGTTCAATATACTTCAGAGTAGATGTGGACATGAGTCCTGTGTTAGGCTAAAATTGTGACCCTCGGCATGTTTACTCATATCCAGGCACCATTCATTTCTATGGTGCTTCTTTACTGGGCAATTGGAAACAGTCTAAACTGGGCTATTCTACATTTCCAAGGCACCTAAGGAATACTGCTGGATACTGTAGACATGATCGGCCATGCACAGCCCTTTCCAAAGGTCCTCCCAGCCGCAGGACGCCTTTCAAGGCTTTGCTTAGACTGTACAGCCGGCCCTCCATATCCACGGATTCTGCATCCACGGATTCCACCTTGAAAATAGAATAAAATAAATCCCTAAAAGCAATCTTTGATCTTTCCACTTTAAACAAGGGACAATCTACCCTTTTACTATGCCTTTAAACACAATGGGACTTGAGCCTCCATGGATTTTGGTATCCATGGGGGTCCTGGACTAATTGTTCAATGTAACCACAAAGGAAAATATAGGATAGCCTGCTCACTCCCTTCTGTTTAATAGGAGAGACCACTACCCTCATAGAGGCAACTATCACAATCAGCCCCAGTTGTTCCAAACCTTGCTTGGACACATCTACACTGCATTATTTATTTATTTACTTACAACATTTATATCTCACCTTTCTCACCCCGAAAGGGACTCAGAGCAGCTTACAAGTTATATGTACTTACAATATATAATATTATTAGCATAGCACAATATTAGTATTATATATTACTATATTGTACTATACCACTATACTGCAATATTATTAGTAATATTACATGCAATATGAAATATATAGTTATTACATTGAATTATTATTAGTATTATATTGTGTTACATTATAATATTCTATGTGTATACAATATATTATATTATTAGAACATTATTAGAACAGCACAATATTGGTATTATATATTACTATATTGTACTATACCACTATATTGCAATATTATTAGTAATACTACATGTAATATGAAATATATAATTATTATATTGTATTATTTTTAGTATTATATTGTATTACATTGTAATATTATATGTGTATACAATATATTAGAACAGCACAATATTAGTATTATACATTACTCTATTGTACTATACCAGGGGTCCTCAAACTAAGACCCGGGGGCCGGATGCGGCCCTCCAAGGTCATTTACCCGGCCCTTGCTCAGGGTCAACCTAAGTCTGAAATGACTTTGAAAGCACACAGCAACAACAACAATCCTATCTCATCAGCCAAAAGTAGGCCCACACTTCCCATTGAAATACGAATAATTTTATATTTGTTAAAATTGTTCTTCATTTTAATTATTATATTGTTTTTAAGTGTTTTTTGAACTTCAAATAAGATATGTGCAGTGTGCATAGGAATTCATTCATGTTTTTTTCAAATTATAATCCGGCCCTCCAACAGTTTGAAGGACTGTGACCTGGCCCTCTGTTTAAGAAGTTTGAGGACCCTTGTACTATACCATGTAATATTACATGTAATATGAAATATATAATTATTACATTGTATTCTTCTTCTTCTTCTTATTATTATTATTATTATATTGTATTACATTATAACATTATCAATATTATATGTGTATATAATATATTTTATTATCAGCACAGCACAATATTAGTATTACATATTACTATATTGTACTATACCACTATACCACAATATTATTAGTAATATTACATGTAATAATAATACATCGTATTATTATTAGTATTATATTGTATTACATTATAATATTATCAATATTATATGTGTGTACAGTATATTATATTATCAGCACAGCCCAATATTAGTATTGTATAGTACTATATTACTATATTGTACTATTTCTGCCAACCTAGCAGTTCGAAAACATGCAAATGTGAGTAGATCAATAGGTACAATATTATATTTTATTAGTAGTATTATTATATTGTATTACAATATTATGATCAATATGATATGTACATACAACATATTATATTATTAGCATAGCACAATATTAGTATTATTAATTAATTAAAAATAATAGAATTAATTAATTCTGTACAATTAATGCAATTTAACCCCATTTTAACTGCCATGTCTCAATGCTATGGAATCCTGGGAGTGGTAGTTCTGCAAGGTGTTGACCCTTCTCTGCCTAAGAAGGCTGGTGCCTCAACAAACTACAAATTCCATTAATGCAATATTATGCAATTTGACCCCACTTTAATTGCCATGTCTCAATGCTATGGAATCCTGGGAGTGGTAGTTCTGCAAGGTCTTGACCCTTCTCTGCCTAAGAAGGCTGATGCCTCACCAAACTACAAATTCCATTAATGCAATATTATGCAATTTGACCCCACTTTAATTGCCATGTCTCAATGCTATGGAATCCTGGGAGTGGTAGTTCTGCAAGGTGTTGACCCTTCTCTGCCTAAGAAGGCTGGTGCCTCACCAAACTACAAATTCCATTAATGCAATATTATGCAATTTGACCCCACTTTAATTGCCATGTCTCAATGCTATGGAATCCTGGGAGTGGTAGTTCTGCAAGGTCTTGACCCTTCTCTGCCTAAGAAGGCTGATGCCTCACCAAACTACAAATTCCATTAATGCAATATTATGCAATTTGACCCCACTTTAATTGCCATGTCTCAATGCTATGGAATCCTGGGAGTGGTAGTTCTGCAAGGTGTTGACCCTTCTCTGCCTAAGAAGGCTGATGCCTCACCAAACTACAAATTCCATTAATGCAATATTATGCAATTTGACCCCACTTTAATTGCCATGTCTCAATGCTATGGAATCCTGGGAGTGGTAGTTCTGCAAGGTCTTGACCCTTCTCTGCCTAAGAAGGCTGATGCCTCACCAAACTACAAATTCCATTAATGCAATATTATGCAATTTGACCCCACTTTAATTGCCATGTCTTAATGCTATGGAATCCTGGGAGTGGTAGTTCTGCAAGGTGTTGACCCTTCTCTGCCTAAGAAGGCTGGTGCCTCACCAAACTACAAATTCCATGGCCTTGATCCATGGCAGTTAAAGGAGAATCAAACTGCATTAATTCTACAGTGTAGATGCACTCAGGGATGGGGAAGCATTAATTAATGGGGTAGGCAAGCAGGAGGAGAAAGGGAAACTGCAGATCCCCTGGAGTAAAGGGGGGAGAGGAAGGAAAGCCTCACCTGCGACAACAGTGGAGAGTCTCCTACCAAGAAAGAGTCGCCCACTCTTCTTCCGGGTGTGCCTGCCTGGACTCACTGCGCAGGCGCAGATTGCAGAACTTTGTTTGCCTTTGCAGGAGGGAGGTTTGCTCAGCAGTGATCCAGAGATTAAAATTATGTTGCAATGAAGGGCGAGCATGGGAGGAAACTTCAACACTATATTGTTGTTTTTTTTCCATCTCTTTGTATTCTGCCCCCGCATTGCAAAGAAAGAACTTGCAAAGTCATCTCAGAGTATTATTTTGCTTTAGAAAACTATGAAATTTATGGAGTCACCATAACAGTAAACTGAATACACACATATAGCCAGGGTATTTATTTATTATTTATTTAAAAACTTTTATATCCCGATTTTCCCACCTCCGTAGAGGGACTCAGACCGGCTTACAGCAAGGATTCAATGCTACTAATACAAGTTAAAACATCATACAACAATACAAGATTAAAATACATATATACCAAATCACCAAGGTAAAATCATGTTCAACTCAGTCCGCATATGTAGTCACTCACTTTGGTCTGTAATCAGTCTCAGCCATTATTCTGGGAATGCTTCGTTCCATAACCAGGATTTCACTAGCCTCCTGAAGGACAAGAGAGAGGCGGCAGATCTAATCTCGCTCAGGAGAGAATTCCATAGCCAAGGGGCCACCACAGAGAAGGCCCTATCTCTCGTCCCCACCAAACGCGCTTGCGAAGGTGGTGGGACCAAGAGCAGGGCCTCTCCGGAAGATCTTAACGTCCTTGATGGTTCATAAGGGAAAATACGTTCGGACAGGTAAACTGGGCCGAAACCGTATAGGGATTTATAGGTTAAAACCACTACTTTGAATTGTGCTTGGAAGCTAATTGGCAGCCAGTGGAGCTGGCGCAGCAAGGGAGTTTATTTATTTATTTATTTATTTACTTTATTTGTATACCGCTCTTCTCAGCCCTTAGGCGACTCAGAGCGGTTTACAACAATTTAGGTATACACAATACAAAATCGTTAAGCATTTAAAAGCAATAGCATCACAAATCATTAAACATCAATATCAATACATCACTACATCAATATAACAAATCCATCAGGTCTCATCAATGAAATCAGAATCCAAACTCGTTATCCGATATTCCGTGTTCCGATAGTCAGTCAATCAATCACACTGCTTAGTCGAATGCCTGTTCAAACAGCCAGGTCTTTACTTTCCTCCGGAATGCCAGCAAGGAGGGGGTCAGTCTAATATCTGCAGGAAGGGCGTTCCACAGCCGAGGGGCCACCACTGAGAAGGCCCTGTCTCTCGTCCCCGCCAGGCGTGCTTGTGAAGCCGGCGGGATCGAGAGCAGGGCCTCCCCAGACGATCTTAATGTCTTAACTGGTTCATAGGAGGAGACTCATTCGGACAGGTAGGTCGGGCCAGAACCATTTAGGGTTTTAAAGGCTAAAGCCAGCACTTTGAATTGTGCCCGGTAGCAAATTGGCAGCCAGTGGAGCTGGCGCAGCAGTGGAGTGGTATGCTCCTTGAGTGCCGCTCCTGTTAACATCCTGGCTGCCGATCGTTGGACCATTTGAAGCTTCCTAGTTGTGTGCTCCCTGTACCCAGCTCCCGTCAGTAGCCTGGCTGCCGAGCGCTGGACTAATTGCAGCTTCCGGACAGTCTTCAGGGGCAACCCCACATAGAGAGCGTTGCAGTAATCTATGTGGAATGTAACCAGAGCGTGGACCACTGTGGCCAAGTCAGACTTCCCAAGGTATGGGCGCAGCTGGCGCACAAGTTTTAACGGTGCAAAAGCTCTCCCGGCCACCACTGAGACCTGGGGTTCCTTACTCAACGATGAATCCAGGATCACTCCCAAGCTGTGAACCTGCGTCTTCAGGGGGAGTGTAACCCGTCAAGCACAGGCTGTAACCCAATGCCCTGTTCGGCCTTACAACTGACCAGGAGTACCTCTGTCTTGTCTGGATTTAGGATACTACACTTGGAGGACCATCATCCTCGGACTAGGAGGGATCGCCTAAGTAAGTAAGTTAGACACACATATAGATCTACATGCTACCCATAAGAGCCCCAATATCCTATAAAGCATTTCTCAACGGGGGGGGGGGGGGGGCAGAGGGGTCATCAAAGACCATCAGAAAACAGT